TCACCAAGGCGCTTCCGCCTGTTGACCATCAGCGTTTTTGCACTCTTCTAGGCCTTGTGCCGACTGGACCTCACTTGCTTACTTCTTGACTTTGTCTGTACTGTGATCACTGTATATATATATACCTGCATGTTTACTCTTGCTAGGTTGTGATCATTGTACTTCTTGCTCTATTATAAATCTGCATGTGAACTGGTCTTGTGACCGCTTGCTTGTGCTCGGAATTTGTGTGGAATCCTCGAGATCCACCCTGAGCTTGTTTGCCTTGTTTTACCTTGACTGGGCTTGTGACCCCTAGGTCTGCCTCACTTTGCCTATGGGGGTGTGTCAAACATTATATGTTTATGTGCTTCTAGGCTGTAGTGGGTTACACCTTAGGGGGTACACCAGATTAGGGTTTCATATTTGTACTCTTGTTCCTGTTAGTCACATCATTCTCGTTTCTCATTCTGACAGTGCTTGGAGGACGCAGTCCAGTGGTCCTCACTGGGCACGCAGACGCTTCTTGGGCTGACGACCAGGCTACGCAGCGGTCGTCACAGGGTTACACCTTCAGCCTTGGTTCCGGCTCTGTCTCGTGGCGGGCTACTCGCTCGTCTTCTGTTCTCGGCTCCAGTTGTGAGGCTGAGATCTACGCTGGGGCCATGGCGGCACAAGAGCTTCGCTCGCTCACCTACGTGCTGACTGACCGCGGAGAGCCGCCTCGTTCTCCTCCAGTGCTGTACGTAGACAACAAGGCCATGCTGACCTTGTGTCGAGAGCAGAGACTGGAGCACAGAACAAAGCACATTGCTCTCCGCTACTTCCTTGCTCGTGAGCTACAGCAGCGTGGTCAGTTGCGGCTTGCGTACGTGGCCTCTGAGGCCAACACTGCTGATGTCTTCACCAAGGCACTTGCGCCTTGTGATCATCAACGCTTCTGCACCCAGCTGGGTCTTGTACCTGTCTTGCCTCACTTGCTCACCTCTTGACCTTGCTTGTACTGTTACATATATATATACCTGCTCTTGCTTGTCTAGCCTTATATATTTATGTACTCCTGCATGTGAACTGGCCTTGTGGCCTTGTACTTGTGCTCGGAATGTGTGGTGACTTTGTGATCCACCCTGAGCTTTGCTTTGTTTTGCTTTGCTTGACTGGTCTTGTGACCCCCTGTTCTCCCCCACTTTGCCTATGGGGGTGTGTCAGAACATTGTAGCTTATGCTTTTGTGTAGGCTGTATTGGGGTATCCCATAGGGAGTACAACCCAATTAGGGTTAGTACTTGTACCCACTTCACTCATAGTTCATTTCATTCTCGTTCTCACTTTCTCACCCGCTCTTAGATAAGTGCGTCATAGTATACCTGGACGACATACTGATTTACAGCCCTGACAGAGCACATCACTTACAGGACATCGAAGCAGTTTTTAAAATACTGAGTTAGAACCGCCTACTGACAAAAGCGTCTAAGTGTGAGTTTTTACAGGACCGCCTGGAGTTTTTGGGACACGTTATTTTAGCTGCAGGAGTGGAAATAGACCCGAAGAAAATTGCGACGATTCAAGCATGGCACGTGTCGACCAACTTGGCCGAGTTGCGGAGTTTTTTGGGGTTCGTCAACTACGTGCGCCGGTTCGTCCCCGACATGGCGAAGCTGACTGCCCCGCTGACAGACCTGCTGAGGAAGGGGGTTGAGTACAAGTGGGGGGAGAAAGAGCAAGCTGCCTTCTCGGCCCTCAAAAACATTTTGTGCTCACCGCCCGTGCTTCACATCGCAGATCCACACCGTCCGTTCGAGCTCGTCACTGACGCAAGTGAAATCCCTGTGGGAGCAGTACTGTTGCAGGATTTCGGGAACGGCCTCCAGCCAATCGTGTACGAGTCCCGCAAGCTGCACCTGCCCGAACGCAACTACCCAATACACGACCGCGAAATGTTGGCGATCGTGCACGCATTCAAGGTTTGGCGGTGTTACCTGACCGGCGCCGACGTGACAGTACGGACAGACCACCGATCACTACAGTACCTACGCGCCAAACCAAATCTCAATCCGCGACAGATCTGCTGGTTGGACTACCTCGAGTCCAACTTCCACTACACCGTTACGTATAAGAAAGGCTCCTCCAACATCGCCGACGCACTCACCCGCCCTACCGCCCAACTCCATGCCATCCTACTCGCCCAAACCAACCCGCTTTTAACAGGCCTATTCACCCACGGATACCGCACCGACCCGTTTTTCACGGCCGGAAATTCACAGCAACAGGCAGAAGCTAAAGGAGTTTATTACGTAAAAACAGGCACCAACTGCATCTGGGTACCCGCGTACTCACTACTGAGGGAGCTGCTACTGCTGGAGGCACACGACAGAATTACCTCGGGATATTTTGGGTTAGAAAAACGCGACAGCAACTGCAGCCGTATTACTACTGGCCGGAGCTGTTGACCGACGTGCAGCAGCACGTGGGCTCGTGCCCCACGTGTCAGGTGATGAAGAGCTCGAGGAAGCGGAAGGCGGGTCAATTGCAGCCGATACCACCGCCCGAGCGCGCCTGGCAGCAGGTTACCATGGACTTCGTCACAGGGTTACCTTCGAGCCCTGGGGGTAACGACGCGGTGATGTTTGTCGTCGACAGGTTGACGAAGATGGCACACTTCGCTGCGTGCAAAATGTCGATCTCAGCCGAGGAGACCGCTGGTCTGTTCATCGCAGCCGTTGTTCGCCTGCACGAGATACCAGCAGCGATTATCAGCGACAGGGACACGAAGTTCACCAGCAACTTCTGGAAGAACCTCTGGGAGCAGTAAGGAACCAGGCTGTAGTTCAGTTCGTCGTACCACCCCGAGACCGACGGTCAAACGGAGCGGACAAATCAGACGATGGAGCAGTTGATTCGTGCCACATGCGACGACCCCACGACTTGGGAGCAGCAGCTGCCGCTGATCGAGTTCGCGTAAAACAACGCCACGTCAGCGACTACGCAGCAGTCCCCCTTCTACCTGAACTACGGGCAAAATCCTACAGTGCCCATGACGCCGAGTCTGGACAACCCAACACCACGCGCACAGCAATTCGCCGAAATTCTGCAAGCTGCCCGCACTAGAGCCGCAGAAGCAATTAAAAAAGCAAACGTCATTGCTAAGCGCAACGCTGACCGCCACCGCCACCCAGTCACATACCAGTCAGGGGATTACGTACTGCTCGACACGCAAAATCTGCGACTGCCCGACGTACCAAAACTTCGACCGCGCTACTGTGGCCCATGGCAAATCAGCCACATGATCACGCCAGTAACCGCGCACCTACTATTACCGACCGACTGGTACATCAGCCCTTCGTTCCACGTCAGCTTGCTTCGCCCATACATCCCAACCACAAGCCAACTGCCTCGCCACCGCCCGCCATCCATGACTCCCCCTGCATCAGAGCCGATCATCGAACCTGAAAAAAATCAGAGTCATCGGATTCGCCACCCCACGGGAATCAGGCTGATTGAATTCCTCGTTCGCTGGAAGGACCGCACGCCAACTGAAGATAGCTGGGTGCCCCTGGCCAACATTGAAAACCACCCTGCCTTGCAAGTGTACCTGAGGAGCCGGGGATTCTGCGATATACAGGCACTCGCGTAGCGGAGGGGGCTTATTGAGGGGGGGGGGTAGTGTAAGGAATTTTCTCGGCATTCCTTACGGAGCCCGACTACATCGCGTACAGCAACAGCCGTTGTTCGCCCGTTACTGCTAACGGGACTTCGCCAACTTCGCGCGCACTGTTTTGCCAAACATCGCACTACTGGCCCGACCGTATCGGCCTACGCTTCGGGACTAGCCCGAGCCTCGCTGCCAGCATAGCACTAGCTAGCTCGCACGCACCGCGTTACCGTTTGCATGTTTCGCGTATAAATGTTCGCTCATGCCTTCGCTCACATGTTTTTACTCGTTTGACACCTTAGTGCAATTCTCGCTACTTCGATTCATTGCACCCGTAACACAAGTACAAGTACACTCATGAAACTAGGCGTCCTTTCCTTTGTGAAACACTTCAAAAGGAGATGGTCCCATCTTCAATGAGGGATCACCAAGCGGGCCAATGGGCGTCCATACCCCTTTTCGTACATCGCATCGCAACGTCGTTTCTTGTTCGTGCTGCCATTCACGCGACATTCCGATATCTTCGAAGGCGCTCAGCGGTGCATTCCATTGGTGCATTGCCCTCTTGTTCAGCTACGTGGCATCCAAGGTGCTAGTTGCGCTTCGTGGGTACAACCAACAAGAAGCACGATACTGCTTTTCACCAAACGGGTTACTGAAATTGTTCTTAGAGCACTGCGAACTTTCAAATCGCCTGATTTCGTTTACTCCTCGGTGCCCAAGCAATCCCTAACCTCCATGTCGGACAGTTGACTCCCAAACCTCATGCCTAGTTTCACTTGCTATGGCACCACGGAGAAGCACAGCAAAGCTAACCAGCGCTTGGGCAACCAAGCTCGGCATCACTGCCCAGCCTCTCCTTACGGCCTGGGACTGGCTCGGCTCCTCGTTGGAGCTGGTTGGGGTGGTATGGTAGCGTTTTTGACATTGCTTCCCTCTCCTAGCGTTATTCAGTGGTACTAGTGGCTTGCTATGCTGCCTTCTAGTAATTGTAGTAATTGTCGCCATTTTAGCCCCACCTTATCCAGAGTTTTTGGTTCTGGCAGTCGTAGGAAGGATTAGTTTCCCCTTAGCTATTTATTTGACTCCATTGAGGTTTAGCCATGCTAACCTGTCACTCACGCGTAACAGAAAGAATCACTTGCCCTAGAAGTTTAATCCATTTTAATTGGGAGAGTTGCAAGCATATCGTGCAGCCATTCTGTAGCTAACCACCAGCTGCGTTAGCCAACTTAGCGTTGCACGGAGCGGCTTTCGGATGTCTCGAGCAGAGCCATCAGCAGATTAGGGTTTAATTATGTATGTCTAGGGTTTCATCCTGCATCGGTTCTTCCGACGACAATTCTTAGTACTTCAAGCGAGGAGCAGCGATGGGCTGTTGCCACAGCACGGACCAGTTCCTGACCGAGGAAGAAAGGCGCGCTAGAGACGCCAAGTCCGCCGCCTCTGGCGCATCGTCGGCCACTCCGACGCCAAACCGCGCTGCGGCAGCAACCACCGGCGGAGCGTCTTCCTCAACCGCGGCCGCTGCAGCAGCCGCTGCGGCAGCAGCGACAGCCGTAGCTCCAAACGGAGGCGCGCGCGGGAAGGCCGAAGAGGCGGAGCAGGGACAGGAGCAAGGGCGAGAGCGAGAGAATGAACAGCTCGTCACGGGGGAGACGCCAGTGGTGGTAGCACCTAAGAGTAGCGATGTGGGATTGGCTGCAGTTGTAAGCCTTGCTGCGGAGAGTGATGCTGCAGAGGGTCGGAAGAAGGCCGTGGGTGAGGGTTCTAAGAGCCCCGACCAAGGCTCGAAGGATGTCGAGGAGGGAGTTAAGGACGAAGGGGGCTCTAAAGATGGCGATGGTGGGACGGCGAGCAGCACACCTAGAGATGACTCCTCCGAGCAATCGGTAAGAGTGGATTGGGCAGGGTAGGGTGGGGTGGTTGACAAAGACTGCCATGAGGACGCGTCGGGATTGGAGGCGGGGTTGTGGATTGAACCTCTTCCGCAGCGTATTGTGGTGCGGAACGCGGGTCGGAAGTCTTCAGCTTCAACTGCGCTCGATACGTTCCTCACTGACCCGTCCCGCTCGACTTTCGTTCACCCGTTTCTCCCTTGTCTTGCAACCAGCCTGTGATCTCTTACCCCCTCCCCCCCTCCCCCACCCCACTCCTTCCCCCCTCCCCCCCTGGCACCAGGCAAGACGAAACGAGAGATCGAAAAGAACTAAAAATAAAAACAAACACAGAAGCAAATGCAGCCACACAACTGCCATGGCGGTACCTCAATTTGAGGAGAGAAATCGCACACCCGCGTCTAATCGGGGCGCTCGTTCTCTCATACAAGCGCACTTATTTCCATTTCTTCCGTTTCATTTCTCCCGTTCCCCTGCTCCCGTATACCTACACGTGTTACGCTGCCATTGGTGCAGCAGAAGAGGTCTCTCGGCAAGACCAAGAGCTCGAAGAAGGGCAGCGGGAAGGAGAAGAAAGCGGGGAAGGAGGACGCGAAGAGCAAGGAAAAGGACAAGGACTCAAGCAAGGGCAAGCAGGAGAAGGCGTCTAAGGGGTCCGGCAAAGAGAAAGAGAGCAAAGCGAAGAAGGAGAAGGAGGGCAAGGGGGGCAGTAGCAGCAAAGGAGACGAGGCGGAGAACGACGGGAGCAACAGCAGCAGCGTTCCCGTTGCGACAACTGGAAGCAGTTCAATGGGCGGGGCGGAGGAAGGAGCGCTTGGCGGAAAGGACGCCGCTGCAGACCAGGCTCCGGGCGATTCCGCTTCCGCTTCCGCCTCCGCCTCCGCATCCGCAGTTCCCGCCGTCGCCGTCGCTGCCGCCACCGTTGGCGCTGCCGCCGCCGTTGCCGAACCCCCCACGGCCGCGGAGGAGAAAGTCACTGGAGCTGGGGGGAGAGCGTCCGGTGCCACGTCATCACCGATCTCCCACGCCGGGCTCCACGTGGACACCGCCATCGCGTCCGTCGTGGAGGATTTTTTCAGTGACGACCCGCTCAGCGCCACCGGCGGCGGCCCCAGCGGCCTTTTCGGCGGAAGCACTGACGTGGTCACTCCGCGGGGGGAAGCGGAGGTGGATGGTGGGAAAACGATCGCGGAGAGCGGGGAGAAGGGCGCGGCCCAGCAGAAGGCGGGGCTGGCGGAGAAGATTCGCGCAGGGGGGCGGGGGATGCTGCGGTCGGTGTCTGCGGTCGCGGCGTCCCCGCGCGGGGGGAAGGGCGCAGCTGCGGGGACGCGGGGCGCGGACATTCCGGAGGTGAGTCCGCGGGACCGCGGGTGGGGCTTGGGGTTCGCGCGCGCAAAGTCTTTCTCTACGGGTGAGGGGAAGAAGGGGAAGGGGAAGGAGGGGAAGAGCAAAAGCGCGGAGCCGGGGGGAAATGCGGAGGGGGAATCGGATGTTTCCGATGCGCAGACTGCAACGGGCGCGCTGAAACGTGTGGAAGAGGGGGAAGAGGCGGAGAGCGCGGAAGGTGGGGGGGAAGGGGGAGAGGTTGTCCGCGCGTATGGCGGGGGAAAGGAGGAGGGAGGGGCGGATGAGGAGAGGGTTGTGGTGGGGGATGCGGGGGGTTCAGTTGGCGGAGAGAAAGCGGAGGAAGTGGGGAAGAAGGGGGAGGAGGTGATGGAGGGAGCGGCGGCAGTGGAAGGCGGGGAGAAGGATGAGGCTGGGGCAGAAAAGAAGGTGAAGAAGACCAAAGGGCAGAAGAGCAAGGGTACTGCAAGGGCTGCTTACTATGGCAGTGATGAGGAGGAGGAAGAGGAGGAGGAGGAGGATGGGGAGGAGGAGGTGGATGAGGGTGAGGAAGAAGGCAAGGATGAGGAGTTGAAAGAAATGGTAGGAGTCGAGGATAGTTCGGAGGAGGAAGAAAAGAAGGCTGCAGAGGATGATGAGGATTCGGAGGATGAGGAGGATGAGACAGAGGAGAAGGTGGAGGAGGAGAAGGAACCGGAGGGTAGGAGCAGCGGGAAAATATCAAAGGAGGAGGCAGAGGAGGAAGAGGAGGGAAAAGAGCGGAAGGAGGAGGGCAAGGATGAAACTGAAGAAGAGGAGGAAGAGGAGGAAGAGGACGAGGAGGAGGAGGAGGCTGCGTTTGAGCTGATGCCGAGCGGGCAGAGAGCAGCAGCAGCCGCCGCCGCAGCAGCAGGAGCAGCAGGGGCGGCGCGGAGAGGCGCGAAAGGCGGAGGGCGAATGATGATGGGCGAGTCAGAAGCAGCCTCGGCCGCCGTCCTAGGCACGGAAACTGGGCAGCATATGGAATCGCTCCGCAAGTCAGCTGCCGCAATAGTGGAAGTGGAAGGCGGGGGAGACGAGGTGGAAGCGGCGCTGCTTGCGGTTACCCCCTCCACGCGGGAAGAGCTCGCCGCCATGAGCCGCATCGCGCCCGCGCTCGCCGCGGAAGCCGCCAAGCTGATGCGCATGGGGGAAGCGATCTCCGCGACGATGCAGGCGCGCGGGCGCGCGCGCGAGCCGCTGCAAGACGCGGACGTGCTGGCGAGCCGCGAGCTCGCGGTGGCGGCGGCGGCGTTCGTGGAGCACGCGAGCAGGGCGGGAACGGGGGACGGCGCGGGGCTCGCGGGATGCGCGGTCGTCGACACGGTAGTCATGGGCGTGGTGGCGGGGCTGGCGGAGCAGGCGGCGGCGTACGCGCTGGCGGTGCTGATGGCGCACGCGGGCGCGCGCAAGGTGCAGGAGGGCGCGGACGTGGTAATCATGGCGGAGAGCACCGTCGATCTCGCCACCGCCGTCGTGCGGATCTTCGAAGCAATGGCGCCTGGGTCTCGCGACGGGTCCGCGGGAGGGGGAGGCGGAGGGGGCGCGGGAGCGGGGGGTGGCGGCGGGGCGGGCGCGGGGAGGGGGTTCGGGCCTGTGCCCTCCGCGAAGCTGGCGGAACTAGCCATGGGGCATTCGCGCGCGCTGCACGCCAACATGCTGAAGCAAGCGTATCTGAAAGCGGCGGCGCTGGGGAAGCAGCTAGACACAGACGTGTTGGAGTTCGGCCCCCGCACCATCCACTTCTTCTCCTCCCACTTCCGCCTCGCGAAAGACGCGACCGACATGGCGGCGGCCGCCACGGCCTCGCTCGCCGCGCAGGCAAATGCCGCCGCTGGCGGCGACGGTGCAGGTGGTGGTGCAGGAGGCGGAGCTGCTGCCGCCGCCGCGCCGTCTGGCGGGGTTACGGCGGCTGACGTGGCGGAGATCGAGGAGATTAAGCGGCGATCGCAGGCGCATGCAGATCGCGTGTGTGAGACGGCGGGGGAAGTGGACAACGGTATCTTGCTGGAAGGAGCGGAGCTCGCGACCATAGTCGCGGCGCTCTCGCGCCGCCAGCAGGAGGAGCAGGTGGGCGGGAAGAAGGGCCCCGTCGCGAGCGCGGTGGGGGAGGGCGCGGCGCGGCTCATCCGCAACGCGGCGGTGATGCTCGCGTCGCTGGCGGACCGCCTGCAGCGCGGCGGCGGCGGCGTGAACCGCGGGATCGTGGCGGAAGCGGCGTGCGTGCGCGCGCTGGCGTGCGCGTACACCAAGCTGCTGATCCTCGTCGTGCGGAGCAGCGCGGCGGTGGGGCAGCGAGGCGGAGGAGGGGGAGCGGAAAACGGCGCGGAAGGCGGGGGGGCTCCGCCGCCCCTGAGCTGGCGGAGCTTCCCCGGGCTGATCATGGACCCGTCCGCCGTTTCCGCGTATGCCAAGCTGAGCGGAATCGCCGCCGCGTTTTCCGCCAAGGTCGCAGCTGCAGGCGCGGCGGGTGGGCTGGACGGTCTAGGCGGTGGCAGCAGCAGCGGTGGCGGAATGGGAGGCGCGGCGGGAGGCGGAAAGGCAGGAGCTGGTAAGGTAACGGAAGGTCTGGTGTGCGACGCGGCTGTGCTGGTCATGACGGCGTGTAGCAACGCCAAGCTGTCTCTCTCCGCGGATGGCGGCGCTGCTGGCGGAGGCGGGATGGGCATGGGGGGAGGAGGCGGAGGCGGAGCGGGGGCGGCGGGGGCGTTCCCCATGGAAGTACTGGACGAAGGGGCGGAGCTCGCGAGTAAAGCCAAGGCGTACGTTGCTAGTCTGCAGCAGCGGCTCAGAGCAGCAGCAGGGGGAGGCGGCGCAGGAGGCGGAGGAGCAGGGGGGGCCGGGGAGAACAGGGAGGGGGTGTGGGACGCGAAGCTGGTTACGGAATGCCTGCGCGTGTCTGTCTTAGCGGGCGCGCACGCGCGGCAAGTGGTGGAACGCGCGCGCCAGATCATGTCCGCCGGCGCGGGTCCCGCGGCCGTCGCCGCGTCCGCCGCGTCCCTCCGCGCGGCGCAGCTGGCGGAGCGCACGGCGCAGCACGGGCGCATGGTGCTGCACAAGTGGACGGAGGACTGCGCAGTAGACGCCAAGGCAGAAGAAAGCGCGCGCGCGCTCGCCGCGCTAGCAGACGCGCATCTCTCTGCTCTCCAATCCTCCGCGGGGGAACAGCCCGAAGTCCCGTTCTTCCTAGCCGTCCGATCCGTAGCTGTAGCGGAAGAGGTATCCGTGCTCGTACAATCCCTCGCGCAGCAGCGCGTGAACGGCACCAGCATAGGCCTCTCTCTCGTGAACGGCGTCGTCCGCGTGGTAGGCTCTATCGCGCAACACGTGATCGATTTACAGTCCGCCAACGCCACCGTGCGCTCGCTCGTCGGCTGGGACGCGGCGGTCGTGGCGGAAGAAGCGGGGAAGCTGGCCTGGCAGCTCGCGACGCAGGCGGCGGCGGGAGATCCGGTGTCGGAGACGCTTTTGGTGGACGCTGCGGGGTTGCTGTACCGCGCCGTGACGTACGCGCGATCCGTGCAGTCGATGGCGCAGCAGGGGAACTATTCCGACCCGTGCTTGGTGCTCGAGGCGGTGGAGTGCGCGGATCAGGCGCAGCGCAGCGCGGAATCCGTCGCGCGCGCGCACGACCGCAACGTGGCGGTTAATACTGACCTCACCGCGTCCGCGTCGCGGCTGTCCTCCGCGCTCGCGACGCACGCGTCGCGTCTCCGCCACGACGCGGCCTCCGTGGGCCCCTTCGCGGTGGTCGCGGCGGGCGCCGTCGCGGGGGACGTCGCGGCGCTGGAGATGAACCTCCGCGCGCGCCTCGCGGAGCGCGGGAAGGCGGACAAGGCGCTCGCGGTGGCCGCGGCGCGCGTCGCGTCGCGAGTCGGGTCGCACGTGCAGGTGCTGGGAGCAGGAGTCCCGGGTGCGGATCCGGCGCTGGCGGCGGCAGCAGTGGCACTAGCGAGCCAGGTAGCTAAACACTTGCAAGTGCTGGCGAGCAAAGCAGCAGCAGAGGGGTTAGTAGATGAGGAAGTGGAAAACGCAGCGTCGCATCTGAATACCATGGCTGGGGGGCATAGAGTGGCGTTGCAGGCTGAGAGCTGGTTCGCAGGGCAGGCGGAGGAAGGGAGGGAGGACGAGGAGGGGGTCGGGGAGAAGGACGGGGAGGATGGAGTAGAGGCTGCGGCAGGTGGGGCAGTTGCTGCTCTGATCGCAGCTATTACAAAAGGACACACACCTGATGATGGTAAAAACAGCGATACCACCACCAACAACACCAACAACACCTCCTCCTCCTCCTCCTCCGCCTCCACCGCTGCTGCTGTGACCAACGGCGTGCTAGCCATCACTCGAATGACCTCGTCCGTGCGAGTGTCCAAGCTGGCAGAAGCAGCAGGGCAGCACGCGCAGGAGCTCTGGGACCGATGCACCAGCAACACGGCCGTGGACAGTGACGTACTCGCAGGCGGGGCCAGCCTCCTCGTGCTCGCTGCCGGCCACGCGCACGCGCTGCAAGTCCAAGCCACGCGCTGCGGCTGGGCCGACCCGGCTTCGGTCGCTGAGGCCCGGGAGCTGGGGGAGATGCTTGTAGCGCACGTGCGCGCGCTCGCCGCGAGGAAAACCGAGGGGATCGGCGTGGACGCCGCTGTGCTAGCCGAGGCGGTGAGAGTTACTGCGGGGGCGGTGGGGCACGCAAGAAGGTTGCAGTTTCAGGAGGCTTCAGTCGGGTTTGGGTCGGTGGGGGACGCGGTGGGGCTCGCAAAGCAGATTGCGGGGCATCTGCAGATGCTGGCAGGGAAGGCGGCGGTGGGAGCGACGGCGGACGCGACGTTGGTGGGGAATGTGGAGATGTATGCTGGACTGGTGGAGGGGCATGTGCGGGGGCTGCTCACTCGGTGCAGGAAGACTTGGGGTGTGGGACCGGCGGCTCTAGCAGCAGCAGGCGGAGCAGCAGTGGGAGGGACGGGAGGTGGAGGAGGAGGGGGAGTGGCTGGTGCAATGGACGATTCTGGTCTCGCGCTGATGTCCGTGCAGGTGGCGGTGCACGCTGCGTTCTACGGCAGTCTCCTGCAGTTCCAAGCAGCCGCCAAGGCGAAGGTGACCCGCGAGGTTCTCGCAGTGGCGCAGGCGTTACTGGAGGCGGTAACCGCGTTACGCCAGGGGCTGGTCCCGCGCGTGGAAGCCGGGAGCGTGTTTGACGACGACTGTGTGACGCGAGCTGAGGAGCTCGAAGCACAGGCCAAGATGCACGCACCCGGCGCTGCTGCCGGGGCAGGAGGAGCAGGCCGCAGCGCTGCTGGTGGCGGTGGCGGCCGCGGCGCCGGTGGGGGAGTGGGAGGAGCGCTGCTCGCTCTCGGGCGAGAAGCCACCGTAAAGGTCGCAGCGGACGGGGCTCGTCTTGGGGCGAAAGCGGCGTCTCTGGCGTCGCGGCTGGTCACGAGAACGATCGCGTCTGCGGCGTTCCCTGCGGACGCCGGCGTGGAGGCGCAACGAGTGGCTGAGCTCGCGCTGAGCCAGGCGGACCTGCTGAAATCTGTAGCGCGCAACAACGCGCACATCGACGCGTCCACGGCTGTAGCGGCCTTCCGTGTGGCCGTGCAGGCGTTTCGGCTGGGGAAGAGGATGCGGGAGCACGGCGGGGAGGAGCGGACGGTTGTGTTCAAAGCAGAGATGGTCGCAGAAGGGCTACAAGTCGCAGAAGAGGTGGTGAAGCTAGCCGGAGATCTCTCAATCCTAGCCATCGATCAGCCGGAGCTCGCGTCCTCGCATGTTGTCACGTACGCGAATGTCACGGCCCGAGTGGCAGGGCACGCTCGCATAGTCGACGGGCAGAGGTCCTCCGCTGCTACTGCGGCTGCAGCAGCAGCGTCGGCCGCAGCGGTGCAGAACACGCAGTCAGGAGTGCCTGGCATGGGTATTCTGTCGCCTGTGGGGCCCCCGAGCGTGTCTGGAATCCCCCCTGCTTCGCCCAGAGGAGGCAGAATATTCGGAGAACGGGGCAGTCTCAGCAGTGTATCTGCTGCTGCAGCGGCCGCAGCTGGTGCCGGTGCAGCAGCAGGCTCGGCAGCCACGGCAGCAGCAGCATCAGCAGCAGCATCAGCCGGGGTACACGCCGAGCTCTCCTGCTCCGTGGCTCGTCTGTTGGTAGACGCCTCAGTGGAGCTAGCAGCGGCTGTAGCAGGGAAGGAGGCGAAGAAAACCGTGGACGCTCCAGCTGTTGCGCGATCGGCGCAAGTAGCGGCACGAGCAGCAGACCACGTGCTAGCTCTGGTCAGCTGGGCGTCGCCTGCAGGCGAGGTTCCCGCAGATCTCATCGCCCGTGCATCGGTTCTGCTAGAGGTTTCCTCCGCGCACACGCAGTCTCTTGCGGAAAAAGCAGTGGCGGGGACGAGGGTCGACGCTGGGTGCGTGACAACAGGAGCGTTGCTCACAGCCGACGCTGCTGCTCATGTGGACGCTCTGCGATCGGCGCCGCGAGTTCTCCCAGCAGAGGTGTTTTCAGACGCGGATGCGCTCGCAGAATCCGCCAACATGCACGTGGATGTCCTCGCGTCTAAGGCCGCGTCGGGCATGGGCAGTATCGACACCTTAACTGTCTCTGCTTCCGCCGCCCTTGTCGCCTCCGCCGCTGTCCACACCTCCCGGCTCCAAACCCTCGCCGTAACAGCTGTGGCTGCCACCGCTGCTACTCCAATTCCGGCCGCGTTGCTCGAATCTGCGGAGAATCTAGTAGAGGATGTGGAGGTGCATGTTGAGTCGCTTATGTCGCTCGCAGCAGCACCGGGTGCAGCAGCCGGTGGTGGTGGGGACGGAGAGGAGGGAGCAGCGGCAGGATCGCCGACGGCAGACGCGGAAACAGCAGCAGAGGCCTCGAGTCTGGCGTGTGTGGTGATGGGGCATGCCAGGCAGCTGTATCTGCTGCTGCCGCAGCTGGGCCTGCCTGCTGTGTGTGCGGGTGTTGCTCTGGCGAGAGACGCTGCAGCGCATGCGGAGGTGATTGCGAGGAAGGTGGCAGATGGGGAAGCGGTGACGGCTGCTGCAGTGCGATCAGCGGAAAGGCTTCAGGCCGGGATGAAGCAGCATTTGAAGGTGCTGAAGGAAAGGCAAGAGGCTGCTGCTGCTGCTGGCGCTGGCGCTGCCGCTGCGGCTGCGGCCGCAGGGAGAGGAAACAGGGATGCTTATCTTGAGAATGATGAGGAGGATGATAATGACGAGGATGCCTATGATGGGGATGGGTTGACTGCTAAGAAGAAGGCGCAGAGGAAGCAGCAGCAGAAGAAGGCTGGTGTGGCAGGGCACTCGCAGGCAGCAGCAGCGGGAGCGGTGATGAGCGGTGCAGTGCTCGCAGGGCTTGTGCTGTCGCACGCACTGCTGACCGAAGCCAAGGCAGCAGCAGGCGAGAGAATGGATACCAACATGCTCCTGCGGATCACCACCAGCCTCTCTGATGCCTCCTCTGCGCATCTCCAGGCGCTAGCGCTCGCCACGGCAGCATCAGGCGCAGGCCTTTTCAAGACCATGACAGGTGGCGGCTCGCAATTGGCCAAGAAGATCTCCACGCATGTGGATGCTCTGCGAGGGAGGGCCTCGGCCGGCGGACGCATCGACTCTGGGCTGACAGCTGTCGCGCTGCGATTGGCTGTGGACGCGGTGGCACATGCGGCGAGCCTGGAGGCTACAGTGTTCCAGGGTGGGTTGATGGAGGGGGGAGGTGCGGCGGCGGCCGGTGGGAGTACGAGGAACTTTGTATCTGCACAGTCTCTCAAAGAGGCAAGGTTGAAAGCGGCAGGGACGGCTGGAGTTGGTGGTGCTGGTGGAAAGGGGAAAGGAGCGGATAGTGGGTTCAAGGTGGATGGGTTGCAGGCGCATGTGAAAATGGTGGAATCCCGTGTGTCGGATGCCATGCCTGTGGATCTGAGGCTACTTTCAAGTGGCACGTCTCTGTTTGCGTCGTTGCTTTCTCACGCACGCCAGCTTACGGTGCATTGCGCCGTGGTTATGGGGAGTCATGGAGGGAGTTCTGGTAATCGTGGATCTGTTGCAGGGGGTGGTGGGTTCTAATCCTGGTAAGTGATGCCTGCTTTATTAGGGATGGTTGCGATTTAGGCCTTTGTTCCCACGTAAGGTGGCTAACATTACAGTATTTTTAGATCTCGTTGAGGCTATGGTAGCTGAAATTAGAGGCTGGCTTCTGGGGCTAGTGAATTCAACTAGGGAAAATATGTTTCTATGGTTATGTTATCATTTGGCATTGAGTAATGAAACCGCTAAAATGCTTTATGGAAGGCATCGAGAAATCGCAAGGCAGTTGTGCTGAGAAGGAATGGAGGTCAGGGATTGGCGGAATTTACTTCTTACATCGATGTCCCTACGTCACGCCAGCTGAAGGTGACGTGTCACACTCTTCAGTTGCGTGGTTCGACAGCAGCATCTTCCATCTGTGAATGGGAAGGATGGTCAAAACTTCAGGTGGTCCCAGCTTCCTGGTTCGCCTAATCGCGATACTGGCGTTGTTCTGCAGGCGTTTAGGGTTCCGCACCAAATTGACCGCGGTAGCCTTCCGCGCATTTTCTAGGCGCATTCATGCTGGTTGCGTTGCGCGGATGTTGCTGCCTCGCATAACATGTGCGGAGGCTGATGCTAGCTCTCGAGGTAGAATTAGCACCGCACTAGTTGTGCGACCATTTTCCCGACGAAGCAACAACTTCGAACCTGCAAATGGTTAAATTCGTGCGCCCCGAAAGTGGCGTTCTGCAGGCTGATGCGTTAAATTTGGCGCAAACAGGTTCGGCAGGACCTTTCTTATCACCAAACCTTGATCGGCAGAAGACCGCTTATCACCGAAGATTCTGCGGAACCAGTTTTTGGAAATTTTAACGCCTACAGAACAACGCCACTGTCTGGGATGTGGAACATCCCCCCCAACCCAACTCCAGAAGCAGGCATGAAAAGCATGGCAGAGGAAACCTACGCAACCGCTAAAGAATCCAAATGTACCGCTTTGCTAACGCAACCAAACTCCACCCAGCACACGAATTTCCAACCAATCTGTGAATGCTTCATGCCGCTGTTCTGTAGGCGTTATTGCCTCCGCATTAAATGTACGGAATTTGTCCTTCCTTGTAGCTTCTGGCCGCACCAATTGCCTAATTTCTCAATTTGCTGGGGGGTGTTGCCACGAAGCTCGCTCAAACTCTCGAATCTCGCAGGCGCTGTTCTGTAGGCGTTAAAATTCCAAAAACCGGGTCCGCAGAATCTTCGTTGATAAGTGTTCTGCCTATCAAGGTTTGGTGATAAAAAAGGTCCTGCCGAACCTGTTTGCGCCAAATTTAACGCATCAGCCTGCAGAACGCCACTTTTGGGGCGCACGAATTCAACCGTCTGCAGGTTCGAAGTTGTTGCTTCGCCGGGCAAATGGCCGCACAACTAGTATGGTGCTAATTCTACCTCGGGAGCTAGCATCAGCCTCCGCACATGTTATGCGAGGCAGCAACATCCGCACAACGCAACCAGCATGAATGCGCCTAGAAAATGCACGGAAGGCTATCGCGGTCAAATTGGTGCGGAACCCTAAACGCCTGCAGAACAACGCCACAAATTACTGCCCTGCATAACTTGTGCGCTGGCTGATGCTAGCTCTCGAGGCCGAATTGGCAGCGCACAAGTTATGCGGACATTTGCCTGGAGATGCAACACCGTGGAACCTTCACCACGTTAAATTTGTGTGCCCCAAAAGTGGCGTTCTGCAGGCTGAAGCGTTAAATTTGGCGTAAAAAGGTTTGGCAGGACTGCGTTTATCACCAAACCTTGATAGGCAGAAGCGCGCTTATCGGGGAAGATTCTGCGGACCCAGTTTCTGGCAATATGACGCCTGCAGAACAGCGCCCATATCTATCAAAATTCAATTGTTGCTTTGCTTTGCCTAACTGTTTCGCACAACATTCCAGCAATTCTTTGAATGCTGCCGGCTTAGCTCCTTCAATAGCCGTACTAGCAATCTGGCTGTTTCGTAGGCGTCTTTTGAAGACAGTCGCCGCAGCATACCTGATATCCGCGCGAACAGTGGTAAGGCGACCAGCTATCAGCTAGCCGCGGCGGCACCAAATTCGCTCTCTCCACAGTTCCGAACCCTCCGTTCGCCAGACCGTCCGCTCAACCGCTCGCCGCCATATTACCATGTTTCTCCGCGTAGCCGCCAAGCGACAGACTCACTGCGCGCCGTTGGCGGGAGCCATCATCGCGCCTCAGTTTTCCGCCTTCCTCTCCGCACCTTCCGCTTCAGCCACCTCCTCCTCCGCGGCTTTGCTTGCACCCGCCGTCGCCTGTCGCCCTCCAACCAGCGAAGACCACGCGGCCGTCAGTAACTGGGGGCTCTGCAGTGTAAACGACGGTGCCGGCGCGTTTCCAGTTAAGGTACAGTTATATGGTAGGAGTTATCTTGTTGCTGTTCTATGAATCGTGTCTGGGCTGTGATGTCAATTCGGTTTTATTCGTTAAATTCGAAATATACATAGCAGATTAAAGTTTCCGGGGCATATTTAGAGGGCCGGTTACTCTACAGGTGCTTTTGAGAACGTTGCACGAGTGTTTGATGTTAGATTCTAAAGCACGCGAATCTATAAATACCTCAAAACACTTTCACAACGTAATATGCCTGTCTCACAATCACTTGCTTCCTTCCTCGGCTTTATACCCCTCGGACCCATTTTCCAGGGGCCACGTCAGCCCGCAGGCTGGCGCGGGTTCTCCGCTTCCGCCTCAGCAGCGGCGTCACTCACCGGCAGTCCCGCTGGAGCTCCTAATGCTGCTCCCGCGGCTAGCGAAGGGGACGTGGTGAGTGCAGGAGCAGCGTAACGGCGCGGGCATGGCCTAGCACTAGTTCATTCCCCGTTAATCCTAGTTGAATTCGGGATTGCAACAGGCAGCGTGCTTGCATACCCCGGTACTCCCATTCTTACACATACTCAACACACTCGCCCACTCACCCACTCACGCACTCGCGCACCTCCCTTCAACGCACGCGCGTCACTTGTGCGATGGAGCTGATTTCGCCTGTACGTTTTTCTACCCTCCATTGTTTTCCCTCCGCTCCCGGCTCCCGCCTCCCCCATGGTGCCTGGCGGCATGTCATGTCAGCCCCGCGTGAAGCTGCTCATTGGAGGCAAGCTTGTGGACTCTACCTCCGACCACCATGTTCCCGTCATCAACCCGGTACGCCTTGATGGTTTACCCCTGTTCTTGGCTTGATGACGAGCCTGGATAAAGACGTGAAGAAGGCAGCGCGAGTTGACGGTGACGGTGACGGTGACGGTGACGGTCTGCTATCAGGCAGGCATCCTGTGCTGCGCATGTGCAGTGACGAGCATCCCCTCTTTTGACCCCTGCAGTGCCCTTCACCACCTCACACTCCCCACCCTCTCCCTCACCACCCACCTTTCCCCAACCTCCGCACCCATGAACCTTACTCGTCATCCCCCCTTTCCTCTCCTCCCCCACTCCCTCCCCACCCCCAGGCGACACAGGAGGTCCTGGCGCATCTGCCGTTGGCGACGCGCGGGGAGTTCAGTGCAGCAGTGCGTGCAGCTGCGGACGCCTTCCCCGCGTGGCGCGCCACCCCGCTGCCTGTGCGCGCGCGCGTCATGCTCAAGCTGCAGGAGCTCATCCGCCGCGAAATGGTGTGCGCAGTGTGGCGGAGTGGGTTGGGCGTAGGGGTGGTGTGGCGGAGTGGGGTGATGGGTTGGGTGTGGGCGTGGTGTAGCGTGGTGTGGCGTGGTGTGGTGTGGTGTGGCGGTTGTAGTTGTAGGGGAGGTGTGGTCGATGGGTCCTCACTCTAGGTTGACGGAGTGGGAGGAGAGACCAGAAAAGGGCTGCAAGGGACAGATGTTGCTCTGTGATTGGCAGTAGTAGGGTGTGTCTCTCGGCTGGCAGCAGCAGCAGCACACACACAATTCGAACGAGAAGGGAAGAGAAGACGTACTTTCAGCCCGGGTGGAGTAGAGAAAACGACGCCTAAGTCAAATCAAGCCTGAAACCTCTAATCAGAGCCCTCCCGTTGCTTGCCCTCACTCACAGTTCCCTCCCCCTTACCCTCCTTGCTTCCGCATGCTCTGCCATGCCATGCCATGCCATGCCATGCCACGTCATGCTATGCACCACATGGTTCCACAGGACCGGTTGGCTCTGAGTGTGACCACGGAGCAGGGCAAGACTCTAGCGGACGCACGAGGGGATGTCTTCCGTGGCCTTGGTGCGTGCCCTCTCTCCTTCTCTTCCTCCCTCCCTCCCTTCTTCACGCCCTTTTTCTTTCCTTCACTCGCTCCTCCTCCCTCTCGCTGGTTGCCGCTCTAAAACTCTGATTTCATTTCTTCCTGCTTTGGTATTCCCTCTATCCCATGGTGCTTTGACCCCTTTGACCCAAATGGGATGAATGTTTGCTCCCATCCACTGCATGTCCATTCGTTTCACTCATCTACACCATCCCGCTCCCTCGCACTCCCTCCCTATCCCTACCCCGTCCTCCCACGAGCAGAGGTGGTGGAGCAGGCGTGTGCGATGGGAACGATGCAGATGGGAGAGCTACTGGAGAACGTGAGTGCGGGCGTGGACACCTACAGCATCAGGCAGCCTCTGGGCGTGTGTGCTGGCATCTGCCCCTTCAACTTCCCCGCCATGATTCCCCTCTGGGTGAGGCCTCATCATTTCTTCTTCCGGGTAACATAAAATGACTGCAATCAGCCTTGTGTTCCTGATGTTGGGTTAAAGGCCTGCCCACGTTTTCCCTTTTTTTTGTTTTTTTTTTTTGCTAAGTCTCCTCAGACATAACCTCATGTTCTCCTCCCAAGTCAACTCCGCCTGCCTGTTCCGTTACAGATGTTCCCTTTCGCAGTGCCAGCGGGCAACACGTTCATTCTCAAGCCATCGGAGTCTATTTTTGAGGCGCCTCAAAAGTAGGCCCGCCTGTGTGCCCTTTGCTTGCCTGCCTGCCTGCCTTCCTTGTGGCAGATGTTTCCATTTGCAGTGACAGCAGGCAACACGTTCATCCTGAAGCCATCGGAGAAGGA